CATCCTCTCCATAGTCCTGATCTTGTTCCATCAGACTCTCACCTGCTTGGTCCCCTGAAAGTGCCCTTTCAATGACCAAGATTCACTTGATGAAGAAGTGAAGACAACAGTGCATTCGTGGCTCTCAGCTCAGCCTAAAACATTTTTTTTTTTTTTAAATAAGGGAATGCGAAAGCTTTCCCTTATTTGACAGAAGGGCAAAATGTATTGAAACGCAAGGGAAACACGATTTGTCTTTTGTAAAAGTTGATCAAAACAAATTCTACAGCCAGAATGAGGATAATTTTTGATGTACCCTCGTATTTAAAGAAATATCTACACAGAACAAAGACTGAGACTGGAGACTGTTCTCAGACTGAGGTAAGATGTCTATAGCTGTGTGCATGATGTTTTTCTTAGGAGGCAGATACATTTTGCACCAGTTCTGACAGATGTGAGAACCACACCCCTGAGAGGATCTTGGGTACACAGTCGGCACACTGGTACTTGATACGGATGGAGAAAATACAGACAGTCTCCGCCTACTGCATGGGCCTGCAAGTGACATCAGTGGGTCTCTGACTTGCAGGGATTCTCATGGGTCAGGCTCAAGCACTGCTCAGTGTGGTTTTTCACCATCTTTTGCTTTTCCATTTCTAGTGGCCCCGTTCTTCTGCCTTGTTCTACTTTGCCTTTCTTTAACATTGAGAACTGTATATGTAAGTGCATCCAGGCACTTCTTTGTCTACTCTCGGACACTGCTCAGTCTGATTGATTGCAAGAGACCCACTTTGCTTTTTTCTCTCTCAGGACCTGTGGAACTGAGTTCAATTCTTGCCATTCTAACTTCACCATCTGGGTGGCAATGTCCTCAGTGTCCTGGCTGCCACATACACCCAGAAGTCAAGTGTTCTGCTGAGAGACACAGGATGGTGCAGTGCCCCGGAGCTGTGCGGATGGTTAACCTGCTGAGCCTGGAAACACAAGGGCAGTGTTTGCCTACCATTACCATTTGGGACAACAGTTGTTGTTCATGCCATCATCTGAGTCACATGAGCTCAGAATCAAGTTTGGTTCTGGGCCCATCTTCCTGGCAAGGACTGTCTGGTTTAGGATGCTGAACCTTCTATAGGGTGGCTCACAGAGTCCCTGGGGTAACAAGCTCGGCTGCTCACTGGAAAGAAGGAAGGTCAAGTCTGCTGAGAGGTACCTTGGAAGAAAGTCCTGGTGATCTACTTCCAAAACATGAGTCATTTAAAACCATGTGATGCAGTTCAGGGGACTGCCATGAGTCGGCTTCAGGGCCTGTGATTTTATAGCCCCTCCCCCAAGCATCTTACAACAGCCCCCATGTGTCTTCCCCGAGGACTGAGGTGTTGTCTCAGTATTCCACCCATCCACCCTGACTACTCCCCTCACGGGAAAAATCAGAGCATCTCTCACCTGTTAGCTGTCAGGTCTTTGTCCTTTTTCCCCTTTTTCCCCCTTTTGCCTTTCTTTCCTTTCGTTTTCTAAAAGAAAATGAAGATATCCAAACATTCAGTAAAAATAAGGCAGAAAATCATGCCTAGAAGTTTAGCTGCACAAACTGTTTTCTGGGGCAGAGTGTGGGTGGGAAGAAGGTGGAAGTGGGTCTTGGCTCACAGCAGGTGCCTGTGCCACATTTCCATGGGCACAGGAGTTAGCACCCAAAGACCCAATCCCTTGTTACCCACAGGATCATAATCTGGCTTTTCCGCTGTGCAGTGCAGCGGTCATTAAAAAGACAGGAAAGAAAGAAGAGACTCTGAAACTTGCTCTTGAGCATTATTGTTGTTGTTGTTGTTATGTGCCATCGAGTCAGTTCCGACCCATAGCGACCCTGTATAGGGTTTCCGAGAGAAGCTAAATCAAATGGAAGAAATAAGAAGGTAAAAGAACTGAACACAAAATTTCAAAGGGAAGCTCGCAAAGACAAAGTCAAGTATTGCAATGAAATGCGCAGAGACCTGAAGTTAGAAAACCATGAGGCAGGAACACACTCGAGTTGCAGTATTGAAGGATTCTCTGGGTAAATTATTGAATGATAACAGAAAACATCAAAAGAAAATGGAAGGAATACACAGAGTCACTGTATCAAAAGGAAATGGTTGACGTTCATCTATTTCAAGAGGAAGCATATGATTGAGAACCAATGGTACTGAAGGAGGACCAAGTAGTACTGAAAGGAGCAGGTTGAGGAAGTCCAAGCTGATGATCAGTGTGTGAGTTAAAAGAAGAAAGCACCTCATGGCTTTATTTTGCACTTTGTCGGGCTTGAAGCCCATGTTCTGTCACTGAGACACCCGGTTCTGCAGATGTGGACACAGAACCTGGTTGACAGGAAAGTCAGGAGACCCTGATTGGCACAAATGGTTAACAACGTGATTACTAACCAAGCAACTGGAGGTTCAGATCCATCCAGAGGCACCTCAGAAGTAAGAACAGGCTGTCTGCTTCCCAAAAGTCTCAACCTCGGAAATCCTATGGCTCTCCATTCAACTCTGCATATTTGAGGGGGGTCTCACAAAGCACTGCTGTTAGGGTTCCAGTTCACACACACCTGGGTTTGTTCTAAAAAGAATGTGTTTAATCATTGTCTCTACAATCCATGGATGGCTACAGACTTGTTTTTATCTTGTTGTTGTCAAGTGCTGCTGAGTCAGTTCCAACTCACAGTGACCCTGTATACGGTATCCAAGGAGCAGCTGGTGGGTTTGAACTGCCAACTTCATGGTTCACAGTTCAGTGATGATCCTTCTTAGGGTGCCTTTAAAAAAAATTTTTTTTTTAAAAAAAAGGTCCAGTCCATTGACTATCCAAAATGGGGAGAGGGATACAAAGGCAAGAAGTGACTGGCTTACAAGCTTTCAAGAGGGAACCTAGATCCAGAGGGCCTGGAGGAAGGTAGAGTCTCCAGTGAGTGGTGTCCAGCCTGTCGAGGAAGGGCGGATGAAACGAAATATAGATGGGTCTCTTGTGATGCAATGGTGAATAATTGTTATCAGGACTGATTGTGAGGGTTGGAAATCTAAAGATGGACATTTTGTAACAAACAGGGAGGTGATTAATTTATCAGTCTAGGAGCGGAGGACCCTGGGACCATCAATGAAGAGCGAAGAGCAGAATCTTACCCAGAGAGGCAGTGAGGCCTGGGATGGAGTCAGAGAAGACAACGTCAAGAGATGGTGGGGCTGGGGGCTCGGGATCAGGAGATGGAAAGGGGCTGAGGACTCTGGTGGGTGGTGGTGGTGCAGGTTTACAGGGTACACTCCTTGGTTGGGTGAGGATGCATGGACAAGATGATAACTATGCCAACGAAATGATGGATGATGGAATGAATGTAAAACTGATGTTCTCCCATGTAGACTATCACACAATTCACAATAAAACATAAAAAAAAAAAAAAAAAAGGTCCAGTCCAAACAGCCTTCTGAAGGGTTCTGCCAGGCCAGCTAACAATGTTATGGTGACTGTTTTCTGGGACTCCCAAGGGGTCACCTTGACGGATTTTCTTGGAGAACACAGGATGATTATGGGGGCTTATTAGGAAGATGTTTTCAGGAAATGAAAAATGGCATTGACAAGAAAAATGCCAGCAAAGGGGCACTGAGGAATTTTTCCCATCATAATAACGTACCTGCTCATTCTTCAACAATAGCAAAGGCTGTCCCATAGAATTTTGTTGGGATACCTTTCATCAGGGATATGAGAGGAAGACGAGGAGAGAAATTCAACTGGATTCAGTCACCTCCGCAAGCCTACAAGCCAGCAGCCTGCCGTCTGATCTGTGTCAACCCCTGCAGCTACGTGAGTCAGGAGAACCCTGCAACCTAAGGTCTGATCCATGAACTTGGGACGTTCCAGCCTCACAACCACAGAGCCGTTTCCCTGAGATCTCTATATGCACAGATATAAACTTCCCAGGTTTTGCTTCTCTTGAGAACCAGTCTAAGCCACCTATGTTGAGTATGCTGGATCAATGACAGAGCTGCCCCTGGGACAGACGTGAGGCAGGAATTTGAGTCAATGAGTGCTGGGTAGGTCGCAGTCTCAGGACTACTCTAAAACCATGGTGAGACGCACCTAGTGCCAATTAAAAATTTGGTTTATCCCATTCTTTTACCTCCGATCCTCCTAATTCCAAAGAACCTGTTTAATGGCATCAGACTCCAATGCAGATATAACCCACCACCCATCCGTCGTACTGTGGCAGCTCCCACGGTGCTGTCATGCTGGAAGCTACAGCGATGGTATTTCAACACCAGCAAGGCCACCCTGGTGCACAGATTTCATCAGACCTCCTAGATGAAGATAGGTGGAAAGAAAGGGCTGGCAACCGAATTCCAGAAATCAGCCAATGAGAACTTGTTGGATCACATGAGAACACTGACTGACTAGCCTAATTTGGCCACGTCATCTGGAGGGATCAGCTGTGGGAGGAGGGTGAGTGGAGGGACAGTGAGGGAGAAGGAGGCACAGTAGCTGCAACGATGGATTCAAACATGCTGGTGATGGTAAGGATGGTGTGGGGAGGACCTGGTGATGCTTTGTTCTGTTGTACATAAGGTCATCGTGACTTGGAGCAGGCTTAACAGCAGGTATTTATCTATCTATCTATCTATCTATCTATCTATCTATCTATCTATC